TACGCGCAATATATAATAATAATATACGCGAATATATTACATAGTATATATATATATAAATAGTCGCTCGAGCGGTGAGGGGAGGATGGGTGTGAGGGAGAGAGAAAAAAAAAACAACAAAATACTTACTAAACCGCTCGGCAATAAGGCACACGTGGCGACAAGGCTGCTTCGTGGCAATATGTGACGGATTATGGATGATGTTTTTTCGCGAAAATCATTCGGGGGAAAAAAAAAGAAACCGATGACCGTATTATATAATACCGAGAGAATATTGATAGATGGACATTTATTTATTCCGCGACTATACGTGACGTCGTTAAATTCCCGGGACTTTTTTAATACATACGCGGTGATTCGCGAAGACAATACGTCCATTCGAGCGTGTATATTATGAAGCGATATGATCGCGGGACACCCTGTATGTACAATTTACTAGCACACGTTGCAGACACGTCACGTGCGTTTTCCGTGACCCAGTTTACCGTGTATTACGTATAAGTGTTCAATTCCAAATTTAATATTGTGTATTTTTTTTCACAGTCAGAAATTTTCTTTAATCTCGACGGTGCAGTTTTTTCTATAGTGTTTTATCCGATGTCTGACAGTAAACTAACGTAAATATGTACACGGACAGGGCGAGTCTTGGGGGAGAGGGATGTGGGAGATTTCACGCGTCGAGCGCCACGACCATGGGGGTACTATTGAACATTTTTAAAATTCTATAATTGACATTTTTACAATATTTGAACGCTTAACGGACGCAGATTTAGTTTTTTTTTCTGACACTGGATCGACATCCATCGACATTGCTAGGCGTGATAATGTACATAAATTGTGAAAATTTCCGAAATTCGAGAGATACGAAAAACGTAATTCAATAGTTATTAAAATAATTGTGTAACGAATTATTTTCTATAAATATTTCAGACGCGCGTAGCAATCTAATTACGTAGGAATTTGAGATACGAAAGCAATGTATAATATAAATCTGTACATTTTCAAATAACAATTCTGTTTCGGTAATATTACATAAATTGCACTACATTTTTAAAAAAAAAATCAATATAATCCGATACTGCAGGTTTAATCATTACTTGATAATGCACTTACTATTATTTATCGAAGAAATATTTTCATATTAAATCAATGACAACATTTTTTTTTTTTTTTATAGGTTTAACTATCATAGGTTAGATGTGTCTTATTTTAAATTTTAAAATATTTTTTTCCTGTCTGCGATGAATCGACCATAGTGACAGATAATTTCTGATAGTGAATTTTGTCGAACTGGCGCATTGTTAAGGTGATTTTTTAGTTTTCCATATAACCGGGGAAAACGTAGGAAAACCTGTGAAATGTCTATATTAGCCCTATCGAAACGCGGTACAGTATTCAAAATATTCAATATTCTCTAGTTATTTTAGTTTTTATTCAGTTTTATAGGAATAAAATTGTGTTGGTCTAGCAAAAATAACAGGAAATCTAACACATCGTTCATTCTATATGCTGTACTTAGGATTTTTAAAAAGTTCGAATTTTAATGATTATCGTGAAAATCACGGAATTTCAACACACGTCAAACCGAAATTCGCTCAGAATCGTTTTTTTTTGTTAGTGGACATTGTTTTTTAATTTTCATTAAAACTTTTAGTGAGGTACCGTAAATTAATTACTCGTTTATAATATATATAATGTATATACATATATATTCCGATAAAAAAAAAAAAAAAAACGTCGCACATTTTCAAAGTTTAATTTATTCGTGTGCGACCTATATTAGTTATTACACATGTAGGTATTGTAAAACAAAGTATATGTAATAAATTGCTCGTTCTTAATCATTTAAAGTGCACACTACCTACTATATACGTATAATAATTATCAACCTTTTTACCCGACGACTAAAGTCTTTCGAATGCTTAGTTTCCAATTATTAACCGGTGAAATGTAATTAAACCGAAGTGAAAAAGGGGTTGTAATGAAAAAAAAAAAAAACCAAAACCAATGGAAACTTTTAACAAAAATGTTGCCTCTGTATATATTTATTAGTGCATCCGATTAATGTTTTCTGTTTTAGAATTGTTTTGTTTATGGTTTTTTGTGTTTTTTTTTTTTTTTTATTCATTATATATAGTGTACAGTATTGTGTGGAAATGTTTTTCGAATAATAATGAGTATTTGGCAAAAAATAAAAAAATATATACCAAGTGGAAACTATATTTAATTAGGGTTTCGATTGTGGTCCAAGTTTATTTTTTTTTTCGTTTGCTGTATACAAAGAATAATAATATTCAAATTAACATTCGAGGCTTTTAAAAACCTACAGGAACCAATGTCGGTCAATGAATGTAACGATAAAAAAAAAAAGAAAATGAGTTTACCAAACAGTTAAAGGGTTGATGAAAGAATTTTTTAACAAAGACATTTTTTTTTCTTTTTCGGTTGTATAAGGAATAAACCATTCGTTTCTTTCAACAGTAATTAATTTAAATTTAAAAATTGTATGTAAGTATATTATATTTAAAATTATATTTACATAAAAAATAATAAAATAATAAAGTAAAAACAAAATTATTAAAATAGTTAATACTCGTAAATAAATATAGTAAATTAATGTATAAATAAAAAATGTATACGTAAAAGTAAAATAAATAAGTGAATAAATGCATCGCCTGAAATTATGAAACCGGTCGTATAATACACATATCATAATACTCCAGGCGACGCATTGATTCATTTATTTATTTTATTTTTATATGTACACTTTTTATTAATATATTTATTTACTTAATTTTCATAAAAAACTGTATACATAAAAATATCAAAGTAAACTATTAATATACATGTTGTGAGTATACACTTTTTGAATTATTATCATAGTTGAGATCTTGAAGCAACAGCAAGATAACTTAAGATTATATTTAATTTGTACCTGTTTGCCTATTTATACAGTTCTCCCTAAAAAAGTCATTGTTAGAAATATCGCTTATTTAAAATATCCCCATTTTAGCCATGCCATATAAATTCCTAAAGGTATATGGTAATACAACATAGGTTTTTGAGTGATGTTCAATTCTTACACAATATATTTTAAGGAAATTACAAAATAATAGATTTCAAACGAAATATGCCAATCTTCCGAATTTACGTTACAAGTTCCACTGCTTTATATTAGTAATATTTCGGGATATCACTAGATTTTTCTAGCTGGGATATTTTAATGGGGATTATTTTGAATATGGAATATTTATATTGGATTGGATTTACCTGATTGTTGTACCAAAATACCAAAATTCTAAAACAAGATAACTTCATTTCCTATTGAAAAGTATTTATATATATATTTGCATATAAATTTGTATATATATGTATAAACAAAGTGTCATTTCGATTTTCAAAAACGGCTCATCCAATATAGCCTTGCAGGTTTTTTAAATGATAAAGTATATTGCATAAAAGGTTTAAAGCCATTGAAATCCTTGATCTGATCTGACTAGTAGAAGTGGTATACATATATATATATATATATGCTTGATACAAAATGACAATTTATAGGTATTTTTAATTGCTTAGCAATTAAATCATATAAGCTTAAAAAGAAAATTAAAGACAATTCATTTTTAAAAACTTAAGGGCAACAACGGTTAACTGTAGTGATAGTGACGGGGATTAAAACAGGGATTCTAGGGGAAACGTTTTTATTATACATCATTTGTTTGGCACGGGTAACGCCGGGTAGGATAACTAGTATATTATATATTAGACAAGACTAGATAATGTATTAGCTAAAAATAGATTTATATTTAAATTACATAAAATATACTATATACTTATTTAAGAAAAAAAAAAATTAGTTATTGTAATAGTTTGGTTCAATTCTCTACTGAGAAAAAACCTCATATCGGTGAAATTAGAGTTAACTAATCTGTTATAAAACGGAAAAATAAAATAAATTTAAGAAAGAGAAAAAAAGTACCTATCTACTTAAAAAAAGAAAGATACATAAATTGTGTATATTATCTATGTTAACAGACTTTTAAATTTAAATCTTGATACTGAAATTTTCTGTTATGTTGATGACACAGTAATTCTGATCAAAAGTCTTAGCTACGATAATTCATATAAAATAGTTAATAACTGTAACAGTAAAACATTGGTGGGACGATAATTTAACAATAATTTAAAACTAAATTTGGCTAAATTGAAGTATATGATTTTAAATGTAGCAAATAATTTATATCATAATAGACATTAATAGCCTTGATAATTCTTTTTATACAAACTCTTTTCATTGTAAATATTTAAATCATCTTTGCACGTGTTTAACTGTTGAAAGAGTAAATTGTATTAAATATTTTGGTGTATGTTTCGACTATAGATTAAAATTTGTTGAACATATACTTTACGTAAATAATCTTATCAGAAAATCATTATATAATTTCCGATTACTTAAAACTATGCTTAATATTAGAATTCTAAGAGTTATACGTTTTGCTTTGGCTCAATCGGTTTTCTCTTATGCTATTTCTGTGTGGAATTGTACATACTCCACATATATTAATGTTCTAACCATTAAAATTAATTGTCTGATTAAAATCATATTAGGAAAACCTAAATTGTATTATACGAATTTAATTTATTCTGGGCTTAACGTCAGAACTACTACACAAATTTGTGAACGGGAGATTTTATAGTTCACGTATAGATATAACAAGGGTGGCCACTAACCTTAATTTTGGGAGCCGCAAATTTATAAAGCTGATTTAAGACGAGCCACATTGTAAAGCGGTGTTAGAAAATGAAGACACACTTTTCATTTTAAATCAAATGAAAGAACATTTTTTTACACTTTTTTACACTACACAAAACATTATTAATAACATAATTATTAAAAAACATATTATTAATATTATTGTTATTTTACTTATGAAAAGTGCTTTTTCGAGTGTTCATTTTTTCAGTAAGATTTTTGAAATCTGGCTGATAATTTGTAAGCGCAGTTCGCACAAGTTCACTTAAATGTTCATTAGTTAGTTCAGATCGATATTTAGATTTAACGCTTTTAATTGGCCGCCATGCCAATCTATAAAAACGATTGTAATGATAACGAAACTAACGGAAATAAAAACACTATCTAACGATTCTAGCGGAATTATATATTTATTAATTTTAGTCTAAGCCTGGTTCAAGAGCCGCACGAAACTGATTTAAGAGCTATCGAGCCTCGTTTTGACCACCCCTGAGATATAATATAAATAGTACATTTTTGTCTAAAAATTTTTGTAACACAAGAATTAAAAATAACTGTAACTAAATTGCACCACGTACTCACTCTGATTTTGGTAATTAAAGTCCAATAATTAGAGGAGTTTTTTTTATTATGTAAATATAATATTATTTTTAACTATCTTTAATATAAGAAATGTGTAAACACAATTTTTTCCGGTATTTAAATTTTAATATTTATTAGTTAATTTGTTTGTTTTTCTTTTTATAGTTTAAACTTTCTAATGTATAATTTTCTACCGTCTAGGTAATTTATTAACCATTTATTTACTCGTTGTGTATATTTATTTTGATATAGAATTTGATTTCAGTTATAATAGCATATTATAAAATTGATTAATCATTGCAAAATTAATTATACGTAGTATTGATTTCTCCAGTACTTGTCTTGTAGTTTCCGTTTGTTTATAAATAATTTAGCTTTCGCGTTTTATTGATAGGTTTGTCATGTGGTTAGTGGCGTAGCCAAAGGGAGGTTTTGGGTGATGTAGATAATTTTTAAAATCAATTAAATGAGCGAGTTTTATCTCACATGATCTATAATTGAACATTTTAACTTTATTTGACCACCATATATATATATAAATACATACATACGTACATATATAATAATTCACGAAGGAAAAATTAAGCAGCTAGTTAAAATTTATCAAGGTAAATTAGATTACAATGTGTTAGCAGCTGCGAGTGAAATAAAATGTGACAACACAAATTTGCTGGAATTCAAGATTTACCAAAAAATGATATTGACGCTTTTAAAAAATGCATACATTTAATTTATGTAATAATATATCAATTTTACCTTTCTATTTTCAAATCTTTGCTGATTTTGCGCGACCCTCCCAGTTAAAACTGCTAGCAGTGAACGATCTTTTTCAACATTAAAAATATTAAAAACATATTTGCGAAACACCATGTGTGAAATTGGATCGAATGATTTGGCAACAGTAAATATATACAGTGATGTAATAATAGACCATAATAATGTCCTAAATAAATTAGCGACCAATACAATAAAATAACTACGGTTTATATTACGTAGAATTAAAATCGTCGACTTTTGTTTTATTTCGACTAAATGTTTTATATAATGTATAATAAAATAAAATTTATATTTATGTATATACGTACCTATCGAATAGACCTTAATCCTAACACCTCCCTCCATTGAAAAATCCTGGCCATGCTACTGATGTGGATATACCGTTTAAGGTATATATTTATTATACTTATAATGTTGATAAAATCTATGTGTAGAATACTTTCTCTTAAATCGTGCTGTCAAAATACACTTTTTTCATCATGGTCGTACAAATGCCTTCGATTATTATTTATAGAACCTTGAAGATTGATAGCGGGGGTTTTGTTTTTTTTTTTTTTTTAATAACATCACCGTGGACGCTTTTAGATCGTAAATTTTCGCGTGTAGTTGCGAAAAAACTATCATGGTCCGGTGAGAGAAAAAAAATAACGAAATAAATATTTTGTTCGTGCTCTTGATATGTTTACGAGAAGTCCGAGATATGGAATACTCGTGTATAAATATTATATTATTTATGTAAACAAAACGGCGATCCGAATACGCACGCACGTTGTTTGATTTATTGACGTGGGTCGCGTGCGGGACTTTTTCTTCGGGTATAGGGAAAAGCTAAAAAAAAAAAAAAAAATGGAAAAATGAAAAAAAAAAAACCGAGTAAAACTTTGTCTTGCGGGATAACGGACCGGGAAAGGGCGAAAACCGGCCATGTATAAATCCAAGTCGTTTTCAATCAGAAAAAAATGGCAACCACCGCGGGACGGAACGCTGCACTAGCGATATTTGCATGCGTGTACGTCTCCGGGGATACGTCTGGTCAGCCTCCGGGACTTTTCGATATATTATAAAAACTGACCGATACTGTACCGACAACGACGACGACGACGACGGCGCTCGGTTTTCTGACAGCTATTTGACACGAAAAACATTACGCGACACACGCCGGACACCCCGTTTTCGGATTCGTAATATTCTGTACACGCGATGGTATTATTTCGCACTGCGGCCCCTTTTCCCGGAAAATGTTACAGTTTTGACGCACGTCGTCCCGGACTTTTTACTAAAAAAAAAAAAAAGATGTAAATGATGTACACGTATAGATATATAATACGTATGCGTGTACAATTCAATGCGATTTATTCCGGTCGAATGCGACTATAGATACGACGATGTGGTAAAACCGCATATTATTATGGCAGGTCCTTTCGCGCGGTCCCTGCAGCGCGTCCGAATCGAAGAGGATTCGATAACCGTGTTCTCTATATTATACTACACGAGCGATATGTATATGCGGCATTATGAACGAATTTCCAATGTTTGGAAAAAAGAAAAAAAATGTCTGCTAGAGACTCTGTGATCACTCAATTTATAGCCGCGTATCTTTGTTGCCCTTGTAACCAATAGGTTACTCAGAAATCGTCCAAATTAAAACGGATTTATCGTCAATGCATTATAGTCTTTAATTTGTTTAACTTTCAAGAATAACTATCGGCAATCTAGAAATATTGTTCATAAAATAAAGTGCCGCCGGGCGAAAATTTCGTACATTATCACTTAAGGCACTGCGTGAAAACATTTAACTGACGATAAATCGTTTACGAAAAAAAAAATCCACATCTCAATAAAATTAATCGATTTTTGGCTAGACTATATCATGATTTAATATACGTTTAATATTTATATCGCTATTTAGTAATATTTAATTTGGAGTTTAATATTTCTTTAGACGAAATGAACAACATTTCAGTTATTCATTTTCATTTATTCCAACTTGTTATTTTAATGTTATTTTAATACAAATACCTAGTGTGTTATATAATATTATGTATATTAAAATAGCGTAGGTGTTATGTTTCAATTATATTATGCACGCGTACCTATATACCTATACATCATATTTGAAACATCAACTTAATTTAAAGTTTTATAAGTATTTCCAATTTAAAATACACAAACAGCGTATCCAGAATAAACTTGTATATATAGGTATCTAATCAATAAATTATATAGTTACAGAGACGCGCATATTATAATGAACCGAAACAACCAAAATCATCGTCCAATTATTTATTCTTCTTCGTAAATACTCATTAAAATGAAATTCGAAAATGTTCGAACAATATTTTATTAAGTATTTGTTGGTACAGTGTATATATATAAATTATGTATTAATTATTTATTCTTGGTAAAGACAATTCAACCGATAATTTACTTCAGTTTTGATATTACACAGCTACAGAGACTTGGCCAATACGAAAAACTGATGAAAATAAACTTCTCGGGTTTAAAAGGATACATATTATGCACGAGTATAAAACATAAATATATATTTTTTTTTTTATTGGAATTCTAAAATATACCAAGATCAATGAGCAAAATAACGATAAATAACGTGGAACTAGAATCACTGCATCAGTAACCGAACATTGTAGAAGCAATCGGAACTAAGAGATTCCATAGGGCAAAGGAACATCTGGATAAGCAGAAGTCCATTATTTTGTACAATACATAAAATAAATTCGACAGGATTAAGACCACTCGGAAGATCGAGAATTAAGTAAGAAGAAATAGACGATAATAGCGTGAAAAAACTAGGAAAAGGATTAGATTCCGGGAAAGCACAATTATGTGATAGAGATGATTGAAGTATTTGGAGGTCTGGATATATGACGGGATGGTCTTAGAGGAAGATCCTCGTACTCTGCTGAAGAGAGGAATAATATTAAACTAATATCTAGTTTCAAAAGACCATTATATAATAACAGGATTCGGATTTTATAGCATTGAAAATAACTGAAATATGCGCTATAAAATGACCCGTTAAATCTTAAAAAAAAGCTGCAATATGCCATAAAAACATGCAAAATGTCAAAAAATAAAATGCAATTTTTTTTTTTATTCTTTTAAATATATTAGTGCAACTGACAAGAAGTCATAAATGTAGACTTTTCAACGGGTCAATACGCTGGGCTACTTAAAAATAGATTATAATATGCAACTAAAATGTAGGTACCTATTTTTCTTATGGATTCTGTAAATCACAGATTTTTACTACTATTTATGAAAAACACAAAATAAATCATTATATGATGTATTGCAGCGAAAATTAGCAATGAAAATATAAAATACTTCAAATATGCAAAATATAGCAATATAAAATGTCTTTTTTGAAGTCCCTGGTGCATAAAACAAATATAAAGCTCACTCTGATATTTTTTATCTGTATCCTTTATAATAATTAACAAATTCTATACAATTTTAGTCTTGGATATACGGGGGTTTAATATGATTTTTTTTTTCTATCGGGTTTTGTGTCAGAACACAAATGTAAAGAACAATAAAATTTGTATGTTTTCCGTTAATCACTGAAAAAAAAATAACTCAATTTCTTCATTTTTTAAAATTTTAAAAATATATTATTTTAAAAATTTTACTGTATTATGCATTATTCGTATCTGATTAAGAGTTTGTTAATATTATAGCCGTTTTAATAACTATAAAAACGAGACTACCTAGTTATGCGATAGTGAATAGTCGTAATATAAAATATAAAATGTTGTAATGTTGAAATTAAAATTGATATTACTAAGAAACTATCGATCGGATAATATATTAAAATGTTAAGAACAATGTACATATTATACAAATTGATATTTTTGAAATGTTTGAAAATTAATATTTTTTAAACAAGCTTTCGGTTGACTATAAATTATATTATTTATATTTCATGTGATCATATGTTGGTATGTTGTTTTAAATTTTCTTATTACTATATTAATATAGAAGCCAGAACGTTTGCCACAATATTTCTAGGATACCACAGACTTTCAACTACTCCACAAAAGTGTAAAAACACATTTATTTGATACACTTAAAATAAAATATTTTATTTCATGAGATTATCTCACCGAGATCTATAATATAACATGAATCTGTATCACACACGATTATTTGGTTCACCGTATTAAATAAATTAGTCTATATAAACCATAATAATAGTATATTATGGTCCATATATTTATAAGTATTAGAGTGGTTTTCCGGTATACCGTCAATTGATTCTGGAAAATTGATAATGCGAAAATTGATCATACGATAATGTTGACTGTATGACAGTTAATAGTATACGAAAAGAGATAACCGGTCAGACATACTACAGTGGTATACAATATAATCACATCAGTGCTGTCATTGTATGTGTGTACAATGTGCAATAATACCACGTAAAAATCATAAGACACACGTGAAGAGCATCCATTATCTATGACCGTTCTTCGTACACAAAAGACTCGTCTATTTGTATAAGGTCTATACCTCGATCGATAATCTATTATCTATTATCAAATGACATATATTCTCTTTTCCTCGAGTCCAAATTGAAACGGTTGATTATACCGTTATCACTTAACACACTACAGGGTGATTCTTTAATCACGAACCAGCAATTTCGACGAAGGATTTTAAGTAAATTTGATACCTTTGATTTTTTTTTCTTTTCCTCCAAGATATTTGCTCGTTAACGATAAAAGAATGATCTTGTATAGATCCGCGATTCAGTTGTCGTTCGAAATTCAGTGAATACCTATATTAATTTTTGCATAGTACACCCTGTACTTGGAACTATAAACTCAAACGAAAAGCCGTCGGAATATTTTTAGATTTTTATTTTTATAGATATCATACGATACGGATTAAATTTAAATTAACCAAATATTTACGTTAAACTGTTAAGGAACTTTTTATGCCTATCGCCAATAATTACCACTACGGTTGTAATCGATTCCGTAATTTTAGATTACAAAATATTATTTTTGGATGATATCTATAACAGCATCTTGATATCCTAAAAACTAGGTAGCTTATTCGTATGCGAATATCGTACCATAGTTTTTTTGTAAGGTGGTAGGAAAGTCGTTAAAGTTTAAGACACACCTAGAGCACCCGTTATACATTTTTCAAAACCCGGTGCTTTTACGCCTCGACAACCCGCCGAGAAGATAATATAATTCGGTGTATTTCTTTTGTTTGTATTTTGTGCCCGCGCCATCGTAATAATTTAAAACCCGTAAACGGCCGTTTGCCGGATAACTTACGACCGTTTTCGGCGCACGTAACCGAGTCGCGCCCGTGACGCGCGACACCCTCGTGCGCCCGACGACTGCGTGCCGCGTTATCGCGACAGCCGTGGGACCAATGCACGGGACACGAGTAGAGTCGCGGGTACGGTGCATAATCACACAGGGGTTACACGCGCGTCGGTCGTACGCCAGAAAACACTCGTCCCCGACGATTATCACGCCGGCGTGTGCGATTAAACGACAGAATACCGCGCGACGTCGAAAACGAAATCGCCGATGTGCGCGATCGACGCTGTCCCGGTGCCCGAGAGCCCCGAAAGGCTCCGACGAGGCCCGTAGGACGTTGCGGCGCGGCGAAACGTTTCAGATATTGAGCCGGGCCGCCTGCTCGTTTCCGTTAAGCGGACCGCGTTTTCGACCGTCCGCGTATACGAAATCGTCGATTGCAACGAGCGGAACGCGCGACGTTCCGTAATATCGATCGACACACGGCGTAAATGTTCGCCGCGGCGCGGTCAGAATCGCGATAACCGCGCCGCCTTATCGCGCCGACTACGCCAAAGTCGGCCGCCGCGGTCCCGATACGCATTCGGAATATATTTTGCGACAGCGCGGTACAACGCAACGCGTACGTATTCTCTCTCTCTATATATATATATACGAATCACGTGTATATTCCGTATATACATATACATATATATATATATATATATCGTCGCGGCGAAGAACTGTTTCGGGGCTCAAAAGTTTATACGTGATTTATGCGCGTTGCCCGAGGCCCGGGGCTTTTGTTGACCTATTGTCTATTCGCCTGGACCGCGCGACGCGCGTATACATAGATATATACATATATATATATATATATGTGCACGTATAGCCGCTAGTGCCATTTATCAAAAGCTCCTTATTGTGTCCGCCGCCGCCGTTGTCGCGCCGCGTCGAACTTTACTCGCGGAAACCGTCATCCGAAACCGCCCGACGGCACACAACCCTTTCCCGATATATACGTACGTTATTGTACAATATAATGCGACGTCCGCTCCTGAGACCGCCGCGCGTATATAAACGTACGCGCGCGCGCCGCCGCAGCGGTCCGACACGGTCCGCGACGGCCGTGCGGCGACGGCCGTTCAACGCGGCGTTTCGCGACAGCGGTTGCGCCGGGGCGGGGGGGGGTGGGGTGGGCGAAGTAAAATTCGTACCTGTCGAATTGTTCGTACTTTACGACGTAAAACTACAGATTACCGTTACGAACAGATGACCCGGGTACCGTGTCGGCATCTACGATTACGCGCGATCCGGTACTCAAGCAGTGGCGGCGGGGCGGCGGTCGACAGCAATTTCGACAAGATTCATTTGCTTGTCGACCCTTTGGCGACGGTTTTTTTTTTTTTTTATTATTTCGCTCATTGTGTCCGTCAAAAGGGGAAGGGGCGTGAGCGATTTCCAACTGGCTACAGAGCCAAAGGGGCGTAAAATAGCAAAAGTTGGGATCCACTAGTTTAATGTGTCGCGAACCCGCGCATTATAATAAAATATTCGTTTGCGAATACGATTCGTTTTCAGAATTAGCGTTTAAGAATTCGTAGAATCTAAAATGTCCAGGATTTTTTTTCATCGGTTAATTGATGCCGACGAGTTGCGTTCATCGTTTATTACAGTTTATTATATACTTTATTCGAGACGATGATTTGAGATCTCCCAAAATTTTGGGCCGTGACCGTTTACCATCTGGTACCTCTCCTGAATATGCCACTGAAAATGGAACATTAAACGGCTCACACGTTGTTCCCTTCGCCTTTCTCGCCATGGACGAGCCAGCCGAAAAACAAAATATTCTCGAGTGCACCGTTTTACAGAAAAAAAAAAAATGAATTTTAGATTCCCATAGTGTACCTAGCATAGAAGTTATTGGTCTTGATAAGATTTGCGGTTTTCCTTCCAGGAAAACACATTTTTTTAGTTAGTAATAATGCCTTAAATTTTTCACGTTATAAATAATATACCATAAATTATGCGAATTTTACGCACTGTGGTACTTTGATTTAAAATTTTTTAGATTTTTTCACAGTATACTGAACTTTGAACAAAATTATTTTTAGATTGTGATTTGTGATAGTTTTTCGTTGATTAAAAAAAAAATAAACTAAATTTCTCTATTTCTCTATATAAATTCTATGTTTCCATTTGCAACAGGTTTTTGTTTTTCTATAAATATGCATTATAATACATTGTAATTGTTTAATTGTACGGTGACAAAAAATGTATACAAGTATTAATGCTTAGTACAATTACTGATTGAGTAGGTTTTTCGTAAGCTTGATTTTGACTTTTATCAGGGATTTTCAGTTATAGAATTTAAAAAGTTTACCCTTAGGTTAGGACCAATTATATAATTTACTCTCGATGAGACGTGGAAAATAATCCAACCTACATTATCTGAATGCACTGACTTATTTTAATTTTGAATTTAAGAAACATTCCAAATAATATTTTGTTCACGTTACAGCACGGAGTTACGGGTTTAGCTACCAGATGGCGCCACTTAAACTTACCGTGAAAACTCACGAGACGACTTTTTAAATTAATTTAATGTTACTCCGTGTGTTTATAAAGATTCGGAAGATTTCCTAAACTAAAACCGCGTACGCGTGCGCATGGTCTTTCGATGTTATCGAACTTTCGCGGCCGTCGTCTGGTAAGTTAAGAGTTATTAACTCTCTAACTTTGGTCATAAAAAAGGGGGAAAGAATAATGTGACGAAGGGGAAAACTAAAAGTTGTTCGAAATCAACTTCGCAGCCCGAAAACTATACGGCCAGGGTCAATGTCACTGGGTCAAACATTCAATTCGAGTTCTAAATTTAAGAACAACCCGGTTATTATACTTCTTAACAACAACTTAGATATTATTATTGTTTACAAAACTGGAGGATATATTCTATTTCAGTAATTTTTAAAACCCGATTTTCTAAACGTTTTTACTATTTTTTATTATATGTGTTTTATTATTATTTTTTTTTACTTTTAACGGTTTTTTGCTCGTACAATGATTACTTATTGTTTATCGATAACAATAATTATATTATATTATTATCGCAGGAATTATAAATAAACAATGTTTACGGATCTAGTCACTATAAGAACAACCAGACTTTTGAATTTTCTAATAAATTAAAGATACAGATTTGTTACAATCAAAATAATAACATGTACTAACGTAATCGGCCGGAGTTTTATAAACGTATTTAATTGTTGAAAATACACAATATAGGTTTTTTTCATAATAATTATTTTACCGTAAGTATATAGTAATAAATTTTAATCTCATAAATCGTAATTAAAAAATGTATTATGATTTAAATATTGATATTTAGTTACTGACATATATCAAGTTTTTAATAAATACGTTTACTTTTATCACTAAATAATAATCATCGCCATATGATTACACATTATTTTAGGATGAGTCTTCAAAATTAATTGAGTAAAAGGCGTTACACATTGCGTATACGGAATACAATTTCTAAAAATAAAAAGAGCTAATACTGCTGATGAATCACTGTAGTAGATGGGAAGTTAAAAAGGAAAAATACATAAATATTTAATTTATAACTTCTGCGTTCAATGACAAATTATTAATGAAGAAATACGATTCTGAGCAAAGTTTAGAAAAACTTTGTTCTGATGTGTTATGATTATGACGATTTTCGTTTAAATTTAATTTTAATACTCGTATAAAAAAATTAATATGGATTTTAATAACATTTATAATATTATAATTTTAAATTGTTAAATGTAAATTATTATTTAAGTCTTTATATAGCTGTAGCCGATATTAATGTAGTGCTATAAATATCTAGTCAATTGCGTTTTTTTTTTAAAAAATTAAAACGAAAATTTAAAAATACAACACGCATAGGTCAATAAAACTTCTCGATTATAAATAAACATAATGTAACGCAACTATTTCAATATGGACAGTTTTAAAATTAATTTTAATGAAAAAAGTTATCGGTATTATATTGGTGCGAATGTAAAAAAACGGTAGTTTAATATTAACACCAAAACAATATCAGTAAACAAAGTAAATAATCAAACAGTATTAACAAATAGAAACGATATTAATAATAATATATTTCTATGTAAAAATCGATGTCGGTAAAAACCGAAAACGTTCCGTATAAATTTTTTTATGACGCTTCATTTATAAAAATATTTTATACATTTTAGTTTCGATTTTTTTCGATAGAATTCAGTTAATATAATTCGTTTCAGACAAATCGCCTCGTCTACTGAAATCCGATTGAACGATAGGTCCGTTAGAAGATTGTCCGATACCAAAATATTCACAGTTTCCATTGGATAGCCGTTAAAATAATTGATATAATATTGTGGTAATAGCGACGTTTGTCCCTGCGCTATAAAATATGGCGCGGACACACCTCGGCGTTAAATCGATAAAATCGGTAAAATAAAAGTTGGACACGAGGATGGAAATATTGTAATAAATTATTCACGACGCTGAATTTTCGAACAGGATTCAATGGTAAAAGTATTTTCAGACCGTTGAGTTTCGGAGTGCTTGTCCGTCGTTATGATTAAACGTCGCCGAATTCCAGGCCGCACCGTTATGTGTGTTATTCGATTGTGTTCGAGAAAATTGTATATTATGTATGTGTATTCGATGCATTCGATAAATACCGTTTTCCGTGGTGTATATTTTTAAACACACCCCGCGGACGACCGATCGATTGGTGTATAATACTATACGAGACAAGGGAAAAAAATTGCGCAGACTTTTTAAACTCGGGCGTACCCGTGAATTCCAGCCGCCGCGCGTGGTGTTTTTTTTTTAAAGCGCCGGAACATAATCACTTATTAATAAATAATAATAATAATACGAAAAAAAATGTGTGTATAAAAAAAAATAAATGTATACATATATATATATGTGTGTGTATATAAATCTAAATTATTTATACACACTCACACATACACACACACACACACGCACACACACACACACGTATATAGGGGTTAATTTTTGATAAAGTTTCGACTTAATTAAAAATATACATCCGGGCGTGGGCTCGTCGGCGGCGGTAGTGCGAGAGAGCAAAGTAGAAAAAGATGGTGCGGTTGCGAACTGTGCAAGAGCGGCGACGGGGGAACGGGGTAAAACCCGTCCCGTCCCAGTCTCGGGCGACAACGGGGAGTTAAAAGAGTGGGGGAAACGCGACCGGGGGGGTTCGGTTGAGAGGTAGTAAAGGGAGATAAGAGGGGGAACGGGGATGAGGAGTGGGCAAAAGAATCTAATGGAGAAACGGTAACGAGCTACGCGCAAAAGTTTTGGAAAAGTTTTCGGTGCCACGGCGGTGAGTGGGAAGCGCGTGTAGGGGGGCGTGTGGCAACGCGCTGGCCCGGGGGGCCGACCCGGTGGGACCGGGGCCGGCGAGGCGGAGCCAAAGGCTGTGCGCGACCGGCGCGCACTTTTATGGGTGTGGACTCTGCGTGCAGCTTTTTGAGCTTTCGTTCCGTCTCTCTCGCTCTCCCCTTCGCGCTCCACTACCGCGGCCTCATGCTATCTCCTACCGAAAACCGATCCACACTTCTCTTCACCGTTCTAGTTCGCTCGCGTGCGCTTTCTCTCTATTTCTCTCTGACGCTTTCCCTCCTCTCTTTGTCTTTTTTGTATATAATATACCGCCCTACCGCCGCCCACCGCTGCCGCCGAGGCCCCCCCCTCATCAAAGTACTTTGGATAAAGTTTGACCTGGTTTCTGGGCGCGGCGGCCACCCATCGGTCGATCCGTTTTTACCACCCGCCCACACGCGGTGCTGCATGTATCGCTCTGTGAAATATCGAGAAGCGAAACATAAAAACCGTACTATACTTATACCATTGTTTTTTTTTTTTGACCGGGGGGAATCTACCAAAAAGTGGGAAACTCTACTCTATACGGGGAGATTTTCAGCTGGGACAAAATATCACTTCAATAATTGTAATTAAAACAATAACGATGGAACATAACGAACTGCAACTATTCTGTACTGTATTATATCCAATCCATATTGCTTTTGTACGTAGTAGATAACTTCAAATACAATAGAATGTATTAATATGTAGTTTTCCAAATACAATTTACCAAAACAGGAGGGAAATTTAACCGTTATATTCGTTTGGTTGATAAAAAAAGAAAATAATCTATTGTACTAATAACATATGGATTCATATTTCAGATTACCGTGGACAAGAAATATTAATCGGAGAGTTTAAACTTATTGATTGAAAATATTGTCGGCATAATGCTATAAAACGAATAACGGATTTTATCAAAAATTCTAAACCGGCGTCGTGTATAGGCAATATTGTGTCATCTGTGTAACAATCTACGATAAGAAAGTATTCTGTGTCAACCGGTGTTCTGCAAATTAATATTAATAAACGTGCTAGTTGACGAAACTGATATTCGTTTATAATTGAACTTTGTAAGATTATTCCCCCCCTCCCACTCTTTTTAACTCAATTTTCTGGGAGTATTTATATAATATATACGATAAGTTTGAAGAACAAGTATACTCGAAGTTTATATTTATGCTGATTTATGCGTTTTGCAGTATTTACACGTGATCGTCTAATAATTAGTGTATATATACCTTAGACAATAAGCTCGGAAGATATATGTTTATTAATTATTGCATTTCAATGACCGTGAACTTGGAAACGCGCGTGATGGTGAAAACGAAAAAAATCTATACGCTCAAAGTTTTATTTGTCTGCGGGTAGTCGAAAATCGCTAAAAACTTGGTGACCCAAGTTACTTTTCATTCGTCCCGAGATAGCAACTCTTTCGGTTTTTATCGGGAAACTTTAATTATGGATTATTTTTTATTTTTATTTCCTGCACCTCCTCCGCCATCGCCACCGCCCAGATGCACTTTAGACAACTTTTCCTCGGCCAACTTTCCACGTTCCACGGCGGACCTTCCGAATGCAAGTGCCGTATCAAATTTATTAAACAAAATTATAAACACTTACTCAAGGTCAACGACTTTTGTTGTTAGTTTATCTTGAGGTTTATTACTAAAACTTTCACATTGCACTAGTTCCAAAACTGGGCCAGACCGGCGGGGCTAAGACATCATGAACGGTAACTATATAAAAAAATAAATAAATAAACATATGGTTCAATCATCAAACATTCAACAGTATCGCAGACACAACAAAGTACCGTTTCAGAATAATAATTATTATTATATGACTAGCCGAAAATCCATTAAACTTGTAAAATGATTATTTTTCAAACGAAAATATAAACAGCTATTAATAACTTTATAGTTGGCTAACGAATCGATAGGTATTCGAATTAGCTACCTACATACGCACATGAGATAAACGATCGAGTGTAAGTCTTTGAGAATTTCAAGAGTTTTTCAACACTCGTGGAATTAATCACGTCGATTTATTTGGATTCTTGACTGAGGATGCTTTGATAGAGTCAAAGTTGATGTTTTGTTTTTTAATATTTTTTGATAAAATGGGTCCATCTTGAGATTTTTTTTGTAACTATAATTACTAACTCAATTATTAATATATTATCTAAACTTTAGTGCCTTCAAGTATAAACATTCATTTCATATCAAATACCTACTAATAAACCGACTGAATGAATAAGTATTAAACTAAAAACTCAAAAAATCACTCCGTTTAATGCATTTTACGAATAAAAGACATAGTATTACAATAATCAATATTTTTAAAATGTACATTTTAAAAATAATTCAATATAATATAGTTATTAACACGAACAAATTCATTTTTATAATTATTATAATAATAATTAATTATGAAATAATATCTCGTGGTTTTGGTTTTAAAGGTTAAGAATAATGTATAATTATAAAACGTGTAATTAAAAGTGCCTAACGAATATTTCTATTAAACGTCAATACAACGTCAAATAATTTTATATTTTTATTAAATCTAGTTCAGTTAAACAGTTTATTATTAGTGTAGGCCAATTTATTCGAACAATATTATATTCGTAAAATTATAACTACCTTATACATTTCTAATAGATTATCAGATAAATTGTTGGTGAAAAAATATTTAATTTCAAAAGTTGATGCAGTTGAAATATATAGCAAAATCCACCATAAATGTGCCTAAAAACCTTAAACTTATTAAGTTATATAAATTTAGCTCTGAAAACGGCAAGATAAATGTACATTTTGAACCATAATGGAAGTTTTAACAATATTAAATTAAAATTCTATAGGGATTATAGGTAAATTCGTATACCCACCCGTATCTTACGGGTATATACCCGCCTGAAATTATGTAAATTCAGTAATTATATACAGGATGATCAATCTAGATACTCGTTATCTCGGAATGTATTAACTTTTTCCAGAATTTATTTTCTAGAATTTTTAAGAAACAAGCTGTTCTATAAATTCATATTTATGTTATTTTTTGTTACCATTATTTTTGAGAGTAAAACCGTTAACTACTTTTGATTTTCAAATGACAACCTTTATTAAAAATTCCATAAATAGATGACGTATTGGTTAAAATAAATTTTAATGCTGACATTTTTGATTTCCGTTAATCTGTTGACGATATATTTACTTTTAAGTTTGGGTGAAGGGAGAATAGTG